ATATATATATAATTATATATATAATTATATATGTGTGTGTGTATCTTTCAATGTATATGACATATGTTTATGTATATGCGTATATAGTTTCTTCTATATCTTTATATACATAGACACTTGTACTTTTATCTAAATGCATACGCACACGTACATGCATATGTAAAGGAAATGGAAGCGCATATGTATATCAGTATTTTCCGCAGCTCCAGGTTTTTCTTTCACAGGGTTAATGGTTATCAGTTATCAGTTATTCAATGTATCAAGTTATACGCCTTTGTGTTGCTGAGACGCACTCACACTCAAACTGCATGTGAACCGCAGCTGCGTGTGTGTGTGTAACATCTAAATAGATGTAAAACTTCTTTCTTTTTCTTCCTTCTGTCCTCTCCCTTTTTAAATCTAGTGAAAGGGTTTTAAATCTAGTGCAGGGGGATGAGGGTTCCCTTGGTGTGCCTCATCTAACAAAGACCGCACCAAGTGGACGTGATATCAGTGCCCGGCCAGCACTGACGTACCTGCACTCGTATATATATTTTTTACGCTGCTGGTTTATATGTCAATGACTCCTGTGATTTTTTACTGACGTGCTCCTTATACTCTTACTGCTGTTGGTTTATATGTCAATGACTCCTGTGATTTATATGGACGTGGCAAGGGGCTAAGCCAAGAACCCCAATAAACAAACAATCTAATAAATTTGTTTCCTGTCCTTTTGCATGTTTCAGGATTCAGTTCCTGCCGGATCATATAATGATCCATTCTTGTCTAGTGTGATTCCTATGGTGACTCCGACATGGTGCCATAGGGCCAATTGAGGCAACCCCAGTTGGGGTCAATGTCGACTGACTTGAATTCCGAGTTCACACATTTTAATTTAGTAATTCGTTTAAGTAAAGTGCAACAGCTGGCCTTGCGGTTATGCACCATTTTACGGTGTCCCGCCGATCCTGCTGTCCCTTGAAAACCCTGGTGAAAAGTTGTCTTCTCTGAGTGAAGCCAATCGGAACAACCAGAAACTCCTTTTTTGTCACTGCTGCTTTTATACTTTTATTGCTGTTGGTTTATATGTCAATGACTCCTGTGATTTATACTGACGTGGCAAGGGGCTAAGCCAAGAACCCCAACAGAAGGCAACAGGCACATGCTTTCCAGGTGTGGTTTTTTCTCTTTTGATGGTTGTCTGGTGAGGTTAAACATTTTGTGCACCTAATTCGTTGGAACTTGAAAGCCGTTTTATGCACTTGTGGCTGACTTGAACACGGGCCTGGATTGGCACAACGCACGACTTCTAGGTTTTAGGAGCTGAATCCTGTTGTTTACTAATTGTTTTGGTTTTCCTGTCTGTCATCACTAGTCCCCCATTTGGTCCCTAATTTCCCCGCGTGCCTCTCCGTAATGTGTCGTGGGGTTTAGGTGTGTGCGCTGTTTTGGTTAGGTCCGTTTCGCCGTGTAGGTTGGTTCCGGAGGTCCGTCTGTTCCCCTCCCCCCCCTGCGCTGTTTTTGGCCGTTTGCCCTTCGTGTGTCCGCTTTTTTCTTCCTCTTGCCTTTCAGGGTTGACCCGGCTCTGGCCGGGTGTGTGTGTGTGTAACATCTAAATAGATGTAAAACTTCTTTCTTTTTCTTCCTTCTGTCCTCTCCCTTTTTAAATCTAGTGAAAGGGTTTTAAATCTAGTGCAGGGGGATGAGGGTTCCCTTGGTGTGCCTCATCTAACAAAGACCGCACCAAGTGGACGTGATATCAGTGCCCGGCCAGCACTGACGTACCTGCACTCGTATATATTTTTTTTACGCTGTTGGTTTATATGTCAATGACTCCTGTGATTTTTTACTGACGTGCTCCTTATACTCTCACTGCTGTTGGTTTATATGTCAATGACTCCTGTGATTCATATGGACGTGGCAAGGGGCTAAGCCAAGAACCCCAATAAACAAACAATCTAATAAATTTGTTTCCTGTCTTTTTGCATGTTTCAGGATTCAGTTCCTGCCGGATCATATAATGATCCATTCTTGTCTAGTGTGTGTAACATCAACTGTAATTATAGATGCAAAACTGCCGCTTCTAGCAGGGGGTGCCAGGGATGCACACTGGACCGGCACCAACGAAGACGCCAGTGTGTCATCTGTGATATCGATGGGGGCGCTCATCGACGTACCTGCTTTGTGAGAATTGCTGTAATGGCAAGGGGCTAAGCCAAGAACCCCAACAACAATTTCGTTTTTACACGGTTGCAGCAATTTGAGATGATCTTCGACGTTATTTCAAACATGGTCCACATGATATGGCAAAGGGCTAAGCCGAGAACCCTACCGAGACTATTTATCCACTTGGGGACTTTGTCTTTGGCATTCTATTCTTGCGGTCTATTTGAACCCGTTTCTGATCGTCATTGACTTTTTCGGAATTCCATCTTGTTATTCGTATACTGCTTCGAGGAGAGCTACTTTAGGTCCTTGGTTCTTGTTTAATTGCGTGTTATGGGATTCAGTTCCCAACGGATCACTATATTACAATGGTCCGGTTCTAGTCTAGTGTGATTTCCATGGTGGCTCCGACATGGTGCCATGGAGCCATTTGAGGTATCCCTTTTTAGGGAGAATGTGGACTGACCTGACCTCTGAACTCACGCATTTTAATTTGGTAATTCATCTAGGTAATTTAATGCGAAACAGTTGGCTTTGCCATCCACCACCATTTTATGAATTCTCGCCACTCCTGCTGTCCTCGTGAACCTTGGGAAAATCCTTTTCTGCTGCAGTGACATCATGCTGGACTACCAGAAACCTTCTTTTATCGGTGACGCTCACGCTTCTGATGCAACATGCAGTACACAGGATGTCTTAGGCAGGTGCATGCCTTCCAGGTGTGGTGATCTTTTTCTTTTGATGGTTCTCTGGTGAGGTTAACCATTTTGTGCATCTAATTCATTTGAACTTGAATAGCCGTTTCTGCCCATGTGGCTTGATCGACCACGGTCCCGTTTGAGGGAATAACGCACGAACTTCTAGGATTGAACTGAATCCCATTATTGTAATTGTTGTTGTTTCTCACTCCTCTTCATCAACTGGTTTCCCATTTGGTCCCTAATTTTTCCCTCGTGCCCCTCTGTAATGTGTTGTGGGGTTTAGGTGTGTGCTCTGTGTTGGTGAGGTCCGTTTCGCCGTGTAGGTTGGTTCCGGAGGTCCGTCTGTTAACACACACCACACGTGCGATGGGTTTGGCGTTTGCCTTAGTGTGTAAGATTTTTATTACTATTGAATCTGAAGGGTGAGAAAAGGATAGGAAGGGGTGTGTGAGTGTTGAGTTGTGAGTGTGAGTGTTGAGTGGAGTGGAATGAGTGTGAGTGTGAAGTGGTGAGTAGTGATGTGTGAGTGTGGGGGCTAGTTGGGTGTGGGGGTGGATATTGTGTGGGGGGTGTGTGGGTGTGGGGTGACGTGGAGGGTGGGAGGTGTGGGGGGTGTCGGGGGTGTGGGGGTCTGTGGGGGCTGGTGCGAATTCGTGGATGGGTGTGGGGGGTGGGGGGTGGGGGTGTGAGGGCCATGTGGGGGTGGGGGGTGGGAGGTGTGGGGGTGTGGGGGTTGTGGGATGTGTGGCGGTGTGGTGTTGTGGGTGTGTGGGTGTGCTGGGTGTTGTGTGGGGATGGGGGGGTGAATGTGTGGGTCGCGTTGTGGGGTTGGTGGGGTGTGTGGCTGGGTGGTGTTGTGGGAGGGGAGTGTGCTGGGTGTTGTGGGTGTGTGAGGGGTGAGTGGCGGTCCAGTGTGGGTGTGTGGTGTGTGGGTGGGTGCTCGTGCGGTGGGTGGGTGGGTGTGTGGGTGTGTGGGTGTGTGGGTGTGTGGGTGTGTGTGTGTGTGGGTGTGTGTGTGTGTTTGTGTGTGTGTGTGTGTGTGTGTAACATCTGCTATTGTAGATGCAAAACTGCCGCTTCTAGCAGGGGGTGCCAGGGATGCACACTGGACCGGCACCAACGAAGACGCCAGTGTGTCATCTGTGATATCGATGGGGGCGCTCATCGACGTACCTGCTTTGTGAGAAGTGCTGCAATGGCAAGGGGCTAAGCCAAGAACCCCAACAACAATTTCGTTCTTACACGGTTGCAGCAATTTGAGATGATCTTCGGCGTTATTTCAAACACGGTCCACATGATATGGCAAAGGGCTAAGCCGAGAACCGTACCGAGACTATTTATCCACTTGGGGACTTTGTCTTTGGCATTCTATTCTTGCGGTCTATTTGAACCCGTTTCTGATCGTCATTGACTTTTTCGGAATTCCATCTTGTTATTCGTATACTGCTTCGAGGAGAGCTACTTTAGGTCCTTGGTTCTTGTTTAATTGCGTGTTATGGGATTCAGTTCCCAACGGATCACTATATTACAATGGTCCGGTTCAAGTCTAGTGTGCGACCTGGAGACAGCCAAGGGCATAATTCCACCATGAAACGATAGAGTTTCATTGTGTCCATGCTCCCTTGGCGCTCCAAAAGTGCTGCGCGGGGTGAAACCCATATCTTTCACCACTGCTTTTGCGGATCTGGCTGGCTGGCAGTCTGTCTGGCTGTCTGTCTGTATGTCTGTCTGGCTGGCTGACTGGCTGGGGCTGGCTGGCTGGCTGGCTCGCTGGCGTCCGTCTGTCTGTCTGTCTGGTCTGTCTGTCTGTCTGTCGGTCGGTCTGTCGGTCTGTCGGTCTGTCGGTCTGTCGGTCTGTCGGTCTGTCGGTCTGTCGGTCTGTCTGGTCTGTCGGTCTGTCTGTCTGGTCTGTCTGGTCTGTCTGGTCTGTCTGGTCTGTCTGGTCTGTCTGGTCTGGTCTGTCTGGTCTGGTCTGTCTGGTCTGTCTGGTCTGTCTGGTCGTGAGTCTGGGTCTGTCTGGTCGTCTGCTGTCTGTCTGTCTGGTCTGTCGTTGGTCTGTCTGGGTCTGTCTGTGTCTGTCTGGTCTGTCTGGTCTGTCTGGTCTGTCTGGTCTGTCTGGTCTGTCTGGTCTGTCTGGTCTGTCTGGTCTGTCTGGTCTGTCTGGTCTGTCTGGTCTGTCTGGTCTGTCTGGTCTGTCTGGTCTGTCTGGTCTGTCTGGTCTGTCTGGTCTGTCTGGTCTGGCTGGTCTGTCTGGTCTGGCTGGTCTGGCTGGTCTGGCTGTCTGGCTGTCTGGCTGTCTGGCTGTCTGGCTGTCTGGCTGTCTGGCTGTCTGTCTGTCTGTCTGTCTGGCTGTCTGTCTGTCTGTCTGTCTCTCTGTCTCTCTGTCCGTTCGTCCGTCCGTCCGTCCGTCCGTCCGTCCGTCTGTCTGTCTGTCTGTCTGTCTCTCTGTCTCTCTGTCTGTCTGTCCGTCCGTCCGTCCGTCCGTCCGTCCGTCCGTCTGTCTGTCTGTCTGTCTCTGTCCCTGTCTGTGTCTGTGTCTGTGTCTCTGTCTCTGTCTCTGTGTCTGTCTGTTACGTACATACGTACGTACGTACGTATGTATGTATGTAAGTATGTATGCCTGTATGCGCGTATGTGCGTATATCCGTAGATGCGGGTGGGCGCGTGCGCGCGTATGTCCGTATGTAAATGTATGTGCGTATGTGAGTGTGTGGGTATGTGGTCGGTATGTATGTATGGATATATGGGTGTATGGACGTATGGACGTACGGACGTGTGTGTATGTATGTGTCTGTATGTGCCTTTATGTTTGTATGTCTGTATGTATGTATGCATGCCAGGCATGCATGTATGTATGCGTGCATGTTACTGTACACACGTGCATGTTCTTAATTGCATAATTACATTTATATGCCCACATTTTATTATGATAATATTGATGTTACGCAAGCCTATGATTACATCACAGCATATCATTTTATTACAAAAAGTTGTGGTTGTATTGCATCTACGTGATGCAGAATGATAAATGGTTTTAGCCCCACAAGAAATAGCTGCCAGTTCGGGAAAGCAAGCTGCAAGAAGCTGCAAAGTGGCGGAACATAGGCAGATTGGCCACTGCATGCCTTTCTCCACCTTGAGCGTCAGGCTGTCGCGAAATTTGCCAGATACTGCTGCCAAGCAATTCCCAAGGGCAATGATTATTGCAGCCCGTTTTGCTCTCAGCCAGTCAGCCATGCCAAGCGCACCGAGATGCCACGTGTAATTAATGCCCCCTTGACGCTTGTCAGAGCGCTTGTCTCTGAAGAATTTGCTACAGGCTGCATGACCTCAGCCATAGAAACACATGTACACACAACAGATCAACATGTACACAGGTAACGGAAAATATTTCAAGCACATCTGCTTATCTCTGTGTACTTGCTTGGGCGTGTGAGGTGGTTCAAGAGGCCAAGTTCAAACAGGCCAAAGGAGTCTGGCGACCTGGTGAAGTCAATATATATATATAATTCAATCTTGTTTGATTTTGTTGAAATGTTTGAATGCGATTGAAGGCGGCCGACGTGATTCTTTTTTTCACCAAGGCAACGTCCCCTGAGTGCATTTTGCACCCTTGACGAACCTGGCTCTGGCAGCTCGTAGCACAAGCGCCGTCCAGGCGGAGCGGAGTGCAGCCGAACCTTTTGGTTTCGTCACTTGGATCACGGGTTTCTCAGTGCACAGGACTCCCAAGACTCTCACGAAGCTTCAAAGTCCAAGCCTCCAAAAGCTTCCAAGCTAAAAAAAAAGATCCAAAAAGCTTATTGCTCCATATTGTTCCGGTCCTATGGCTCTAGCCATTTTCTGCATTTTTCTGCAACTTCTGTTTCGCCCATTTTTGACTCCCGCTTTCTGAACATGTTTGTATTTCAATCGCATTGCAAGTCAAAACTAAGGCAGCCAAGCGTCACAAATGCCTTGGCAATCTTGATTTTATTCTGCACCTTGGTCGTCTCATGTCATCTCTTTGATGCGATTGCGGTCTGACGTGCTTTCCTGGTACACTGTGATTCAATTTTTGGGCCCAGGCTGCTAGGTAGTACTCGTGCTCACTCCCAAACATCAGTCTGAGAATGTTCGACGATTCCTGGTTTTGCGCCAATGTCTGGTCTGTCCATTTCGTTTCTCCCCAATTTTGGGTGTCCTGCCTGCAAAATCGGCACTAGTCTGGATCCCATCTGTCGTCTGACTTCCTGACTTGCTTGGACCTGCGGTCGGCACAAAACCACGCCACGCACGAATGACATGTAGGTGCACCTCGAATGGAGTGATGCCATTCCGCACCTGTTTCGATCTTGGCCCATGACCAAGCATCTCCAGCATTCTATCGGCCTCACACGCCAAACAAACCAAAATCAAAACCTGCACACCACGGTGAGATCCGCAAGGAAATTTGCCAGGCCTGGTGCTCCAAAGTCCAAGCTAGTGTACCACTGGGGCCCGGAAAGTAAGCCTGCAGGTGATGTAGCCAACTTAGATGCTGCAAATGGTCTTGCATGCACGGGCTTTGTAATTAAACATGTCTTTGTTTTTCTTAGATTAATTATGACTTCTGGCAAATTGGCAAGTATGGCAAACATTCTCTGCATGTTTCCTGCTGGGACCTTCCCGGTGC